ACAGACTGCTGAGCAGTGGCGGATCCAGAGCCTGATCTCGGGAGGGGCACTTGTAGATTATTTAAAGAAATAATCCAGACACAATAACCACTACAGCTCAGTGTAGTGGTTATGATGGCAATAGTGCCGGGACCCCCTCCCAGAGTAAGTAGTCAAACCGTTTAAGAACAGTTTGACAACTTACCTGAGGTTTGCTGGGAAATGGGGCTGTAGTAGAGCATAGGAGCAGTGGTGTGTGGGAGTGGTGCAATGTGTAAGGGGTGCAGTGTGTGTGTATGGGGGGCAGTGTGTGTGTATGGGGAGCAGTGTGTGTCTATTGGGGGCAGTGTTTGTGTATGGGGGCAGTGTTTGTGTATGGGGCAGTGTGTATGGGGGTGTGTGTGCGTATGGGGAGCAGTGTGTGTATATGGGGGCAGTGTGTGTGTATGGGGCAGTGTGTGTGTATGGGGGGCAGTATGGGGGGCAATGTGTGTGTATGGGGGGGCAGTGTGTGTGTATGGGGAGCAGTTTGTGTGTATGGGGGGGTGTATGGAGGGCAGTGTGTGTGTATGGAGGGCTGTGTGTGTGTGTAGAGTGTGTGAGTCCATACACACACACACACACACACACACACACACAGAGACTGCTGAGTCCATAAATACATACATACACACATTAAGCCTACCTGTCACTGGAGGCTGTTGCTGGGGGTCAGGCAGCCATCTTCTGCAGCAGCATGGTCTGCCGCTTTACGGCGGGGCTTACGTGTGGGAGGCGGGGCTTCGTTTGGGCGCCGGGCCTGTGCCAGGGAGCCTGTCAGTGCTCCCTCCAGCCACAGACAGCCCCCAGCACCTCAGTCCTGCATTCCCTCCCCCGGCCGGGCTGTCACAGGCTGTTACAGTCCGAGGGAATATAATTGAAGCCCATGGCCAGCAAGTTGCCGGCAGTTGGGGGGCAAGATGTAGGGGGGGCCATGGTCCCCTCTGGCCCCCCCCAGCTGACAACGTTATAATTCTGTTAGAGGTATGAGTGTTCTGGGCCGGCTCATGTCAATTCTGTGCACCGATGCTCATTCATTGGCTGAGAATGCTCAACTGATGCTCTCAGCCAATGAATAAGTGACTGGATCAGCAGCTGGATTCTGCAGCTCTCACTGATACGGCTCAGCTGCTATCATTTGAGGTTTGGTACCTGGCAAGACCCAAGTAAGAGCCAAAGCATTGCAAAACAGTTTCCCCATTACTGGGGAATTTCAACAGGCTTCAAAACCACTACATCAGGCTGACGCTGCTTGGAGTAACTCTTTAAATGTAATAATTTTTGGTTTTGATTTTACAACTTTTACTATATATTTTTACACATGTCCACCTGTCTATTATTTTAGTCCTTTTATTGGCATCCTTGGAACATTAACCCCTTAAGACCGCAGGGCGTACTATTACGCCGGCGATCGCAGTGGAGCCCCCCCGTGGCAGATCCTCCTCCTCTGGCCCCCCTCGGCCATGTGAGAGTGAGGTTCTTGCAAGGACCTCACAATCACATGGCCGGGATAGCTGGCTGCTGTATTGCCAGCAGGGGGCTGCCTGTAATGACAGGTGGTGCCCCTGCTGGCTGAAAATAAAATAAATAAATTAATAAGTGTAAAAAAAAAATATATATATACTTAGATCATATATATATATACACACACTATATATATATATGATCTAAGTATATATATACACATATACATACACACACGTACACTGTATAGGTGTATTTTACTATTAATATATATATATATATATTAATATCAAATTACACGTAGACTGATATTGATTAAATATATATATATAATTATTGTTATATATATATTTATATATAATATAAAAAAATTAAATATGTAAATACATTAAAAAATAAAATAAAAAAAATAATAAAAAAATATATAGATGTGTGTTATTTCGTTCTAACTGTATTGTGATATTAATATATATATTTATATCAAAATACACATGGAACGAAATAATATATATATCTATATACATAAATATATACGCATATATCACTATATATATATACCTATATATAAATAAAAATATTTTACAAAAATTAGATATATATATATACACATATATATTCACATATGTATATATACATATATTAATTCTACATATATATTTATGTAATATTTTTACATAATTGGGTATCTTAATTAATTACAATTAGCAGGACCTGCCTGACAACCCATGCCGAAAGTAAAGGGAATTTAATTTGCTAGCACTATATTTAACCCTATAACTTTCCAAGACACCATAAAACCTGTACATTGGGGGTACTGTTCTACTTGGGAGACTTCGCTGAACACAAATATTAGTGTTTCAAAACAGTAAAATGTATTACAACAATGATATCGCCAGTAAAAGTGAAGTTTTTTGCATTTTTCACGCACAAACAGCACTTACACGGATGATATTATTGCTGCAATACTTTTTACTGTTTTGAAACACAAATATTTGTGTTCAGCGAAGTCTCCCGAGTACAACAGTACCCCTCATGTACAGGTTTTATGGTATTTTCAAAAGTTACGGCATCAAATATAAGGCTTGTGTTTAATTTTTCGCCAGATTGGGTACGTTGCCTTTGAGACCCTATGGTAGCCCAAGAATGAAAATTACCCCTATGATGGCATACCATTTGCAATAGTAGACAACCCAAGGTATTGCAAACGGGGTATGTCCAGTCTTTTTTAGTAGCCACTTAGTCACAAATAGCAAAAACAAACAAAGATATAAGGATGCGCCTGTTACGACACCCCTAGTGTCTTTAAATGAAACCGCCATTTAGGCGACCTTCCCCTTCTGCAATACAAATAATCCTCGTTCACATAAGCCGTAGTGCATGAACCAAACTCAGGGGAAGCGGCAATCTCCCGACCGGTATCCGTGAACGGCTCCAACCTTCCGAACGGAACTCCACGAAACTGCTGCTAGACGCTGAACATTAACATCCACCAAGCCGCTTTCGGTTCCATCCAGCAGTCTCTAAGCGTAAAGAAGAAATCCCCCCAATAATGAGACAGAAGCTCCGCATTGAGGGTCAAACAGGATCTGGCTTTACTGTGGGCTACCTGCCCGTATTTATGCAGGTCTCCCACTTGGTGGACACTCCCCTAGGGGACCAAATGGGAGACTTAAATGACAGACAGATAAGGGGACATTCCAGACACACAGTCACAGATTTTACCCACAATGCAATATGGTTTTCTCCCGTCTGCCCTGGAGATAATTAAGGAGTAACTCAATTATCTCCAGGACAAAGCCAGTCGCCATTTTAAATATAAAATCATAAAAGACATAAGAATACATAACTTCACAAAAACTGAACATTTCCCATTCGTATCACATATCCCCAGATAGACTGGATCTGAGTGCATATTATTAGCGAATAGCGCTCAGATCCCACACACATAGTTCAATCGCCATGGAGTCAAAGTTCTTACAGTCCTTCGATATACGAATGACTCCATGGGAAGGCTTTCTGGGTTAAGTCCTTTCGTATGCTTCAAAGCTCCCGAACGGCCGGTATTCGTATGCTTTCGTGGAGGCAGCCAGGCGTTCCGTTGTTCCAGCGGTGTTCGGCAGAAAAAGTGTCCGTTTTTAGTTCCATAGAAATAGAGCCAAACACCGCTGGGCTTTCGCGTGGTTTAAAATGGCCGCTGCCTCGTGGTCGACATATGAACGACGACCACCCTGAATTCGGTTTAATCAAGAAGTGTCTGCGGTTAACCACAACGTTCTAATTGGGATCAATAGGTTAACTAGCAGCACACTTCTCTCCTGGGTGGCCATCTATTCGGTAGGTTTGTTCGGGAAAAATAGTCATTCGTATGGCTGGGCTATAGGAAACAGCCATTTGCACGAACAGGATAGAAACAGACGAATACACCTGAAATAACCAAACAGATGGTTCTGTCACAGCGCCTAAAGCTTAAAATTATGATAAAATAAAGGACTAAATAAGTCAGATAAAATACAGAATAAAATAAGTGATAAAACAATAGTCCAATAAAATAGGCTTATCACAGTCCGTGAGGGTAGGTCCCACTTGTAAAGGAATATTATTTAGGGTGTAGATGGGATCGTATCTTCAAATGTTGAAAATTCAGCATATGTGGAGAGAAAAATAAAAACAGGACTCCAATGGCACAGTAAATCGGTGTATAAAATAAATATAAAACTATAAAATCAGTCTTACTCACACTTTTCAGAGCTAGGATCAGCTCTGATACTGCTTGTGTAAAGTGGAATGATCCCCACTTCAAGGACATATGGAGTGAATTTTGATAGTTGAATATCTGACGTGGATTCAGCATTCAATTTGACGTAATACGACCCAGAGGAAAAAATGAAATAAAATATATAGTGCTCACTGTATGTAATCCAAAATTAAAAGAAAGTAAAGTATACTACTCACATAAGCAGAGCAGACTCAAAACTGCTCAGTGAAGGCGCTCGGGTGGTATAATCCCCACCTATGGATTCTTTGCACTTCCTGCAGGGTGAGCCGTATACGTAAAATCAAATAAAAGAAAATGTATGTAAAATCAGGTAAAGGAGAAAGCAAATGGCAATAAAGTATTTTATGCCAATAAAATATCTTTATTATAAAATTAAGAACAAAATCTATTAATATCTAAACGCGTTTCGCCTTAACAGGCTTCTTCAAGTAGATAGTAGGAAAGAGGGGCTACTTGAAGAAGCCTGTTAAGGCGAAACACGTTTAGATATTAATAGATTTTGTTCTTAATTTTATAATAAAGATATTATAATTATAATTATATAGGTCCAAACCTTCTTCTATTACATCTTCAGCATTCACTGAATACCTGTAAGGTCTGAGTTCCAATTCACTAATATTCTTATGTACATATGCATTGCTTCCTCTTTAGAAATGAATAAACCATCAAAACATTAAAGTCACACATCTGTATATTCACATGATTTAATTAAATGAAAACTGTTCTACACTTGTGTAAGTGGCCAACAATTACTTGGGGATTATATCAGAATTGCATAGCAACTTTATATACATTTCCTCTTTTTTTATTTATCTATTAATATCCATTGAGAAAATGGAAAATTTATTTCTTGAGATACTTATTCCACAATGCTATTATACTTTCATGATAGTAAAAAGTTTAAATGAAAGAATATGGACCAGCAGACCTTCTTAATAGATGCAATCCTTTTATTGTAACAGATGCAAGAGAGTGGCCAAAAAAAAACCATGCATTTGTTACAGTAAAAGGACTGTGATTACTAAGAAGGTGTGCTGTACCATATTTTCTTTATTTTTATTATGTACCGGACAATAGATCTGGGAGTCTACAGCAACCTTCCAAGGTATTGAAATATATACACAGATCAGCCACAACAGTAAAACCACTGAGAGATGAAGTGAATGACATTGATCATATCGTTAAAATGGTACTGGTCAGGGGGTGGTATGTATTAGGCAGCAAGTGACTGCCATCAGGGGATACAATCGCCATGAAGAGGTGTGCGTGATCTGCAACAATCTTTAGATGAGCCTTGGGCGCCCATGATCCTGATGCCAATTTACAGATTTTCCTCTCTTGCACCACTTTTGGTAGGTAC